TCCAAGTACTTATTCACATGGAAAGCCAAAAATCAATTTCAAGATTATAACGGAGTCAACAAAGATTTAAACTCGTGGACGAGTTTCTTCAGAGAAGAGGAGAATGATGCAGTAACCAAGGCTCTCATGCATGTATTGGAATCTAACAAGAGTCTCATGCATATTGGAACCATCAAATATATTTAATTGAGTTTTAGAGCAACACAAATAGTTTAAGTAGTCATTTAAGAACATTTTAAATATTTTTGGGGTAGAGCAAAAGTCCAATTCGGACTAGAGTTTCATGGTGTTGTATTCCTTATAAATATATGTACTAAACCCTTGAGAAGGGGACTTGAATGAATTAAAATATATTTTGCTTTGTGCAATTGAAGTGAGTGATTTCTCCTTCTAAAATCAAGCATTTGGCTTGGTCGTGTGAGCGAATCCACGATTAGCGACGTGAGTGAGCTCCGTTACCCCTGGTTGAGTGATTCCCAGGTTATCTATCCCCCGTCTCCTTGAGACCTTTGGTTCTGTCCTGCATCAGAGGCGTTCTTGTGATGCAGAAAGTGGTTTATATATTTTTATTATTAATATATTTTCTGTCAATTTTATCCAACATAAAATGCTTTTATTTATTTTTATTAATAAATTCTTTGTCGGTTATAGCCGACACAAGTTCTGTCGGTTTTAACCAACAAAAATGCTCTTATTTATTTATTATTAATATATTCTTTGTCGGTTATATCTGACATAATTTATGTCGGTTTTAGAATATTTTCTGTCGGAAATTTCATTTCCTAACGCTGGCAATTCTGTCGCTTATTATATCTGCCACTTCATCTATTTTCTGTTGGATTTTGCTTAAAATCCAAAAGTAATATACGTCTTTTGTCGGTTTTTGGACCGCCAGTTATAGATAATTTTGTAGTAGTGGACTTATTGCCATAATAACTGTCAAATTTTAAAAATCATACAATGCAAAAGGCACGAATCAAGTAAACACTAATGCTTATGTTTTCCCTTTGCTTTTCCCGTATACTGCATATACACCTTACAAACACATCATCACATTTTCTAATTATCGCATAGAGATAAATTCTGTCTTTAGATTGTTGGAGCAATATTACAAAATATGAAAAATAACAATATAATTCCAATGATAATAATCATAAAGAAATTCACAACATCAATTATATATGATATTAATATAAACAACTAGAGAGAAAGTTAAAAAAATTGACAAACTTGGAGATTGAGGCTTGCATATGCAATGTCCTAAAGACAAAATTTTGCCCCTATTCTTGTGTTGTAGTTCGGTAGGCGTCCATCTATCAGGATTCAACAATCTATAATCCGAAGTCGAAGCACTTTAATATTCGAACTCTGGGGAACTTTATATATTTTGTACTCTTAAGACATGACTTGTAATTTAACAAACGAATAATGAGAGAAATAGAGTGGGGAAACCATATTTCTCAATAGTAAAAATTAACTCTAATTATGTATATCTAATGATAATGGTTTTATGGGTTAATATAGAACCCATTGTGTTGTTTGGTGTAAAGATGCAACTTTGCATCTATGTAACCTACACTACGATCATCAAACTACACATCCCAAATTACAAATAATGTGATGCAATTCTTTGCATCAGACGTAACACTTAAGAATAAACAAGATTAATTTTTTCATTCAATATTTGAAATTAAATACAATAGTATCCAATAAATATTATAATATAAATCAGTGTTCTAAAAATCTCCTTAGACGGCGCCTAGGCATTAGGCGGTGGAGCCCTGATGTGTTTTAAGGCAAATCGTTACAGAAATCAGTAGGGAGTTGGGCGACCGCTTAGGCACTCCCTAGGCGCTCTAGGTGGTCCAAACGGCCTTGAATGTTGTCTTCTTCTATCGCAGGCTCTGCAACTTCCGTCTTGAACTCTCTTCTGCTCTGTGCATAGTTCTCGTCATCGTCTTCTCTTCTGCCCTAAATCATGCTATCTCATCTTAAGCAGACTCACATTTTTAACTCCAACTCTTGTGATGCCAGACTTGAAAAAGAAGGGAATTTACAGAAGAAAATGGAAGAAGATTAGCGAGAGGAAGAAGAGGAAACATAAAAGAAAAAAAAAAACGAAATGAGAACGAAGATGTGAGAGAGGAGGAAGAGAAAACGGAAGAAAACCCAAAATAAAGAGCTTTCCGGTTTTCAAGGGGTCAAAAGGTGTTGAAGAGTGTACCACTCTACTATATTTACTATCATGTCCACCACTAGCCCTATTATTAAATAGACAATTGATTTCTTTAATATGTTTTTTACACTATTATACCTTTGATATGAGATTGAAACCTTGGGTAATGTGATAGAGGTATGGCTCCACCAATTGGGAGTGATATGGAACAAGTGGAGTGCAAGGGTCATTATGTGGGTTTTGTTTTAATACTTTATTGTTTTTTCTAAGACCAAACTATATTTATATACTTGAAATCTTACATTACATAGATATTATTCTTTTTACAAAATTACATATTATTTCATATTTATTTATATATTACATAGTAAATCTAATTAATTTATGTAATATATAATAAATTCATTAAATCCGCCTAGGCCTTGCCTAGCCGCTTAAGCACTAGGCCCTAGTTCACCGTCCGACTAACGCCTAGTGTTTTTTTGAACCTTGATATAAATTTCCAACAACTAATTTATTATGGTTGACTCATTGTTTGACTTAACTGAATTTCATACTTTCTTAAAGTAAATATATAATTGTATTTTAAATAAAAATTTAAACAAAATAAAAACTTCAAGAACCAATATTGGTATTTCTTCTTTTACTTTTTGTTTTACTTGAAAGAACGATATTTTACTTTAAACTACAAGAAATGAGCTTCTAACTCGGTTGCATATGCCAATATTCTCCTTAAAAGTAGAATGCAACAAAAAAGAAACTCAAGTGGGTTGTATTTTACTTTTCTTTTCTTTTCTTTTTTTAATGAACAAGGGTTGTATTTTAGTATTTAGATTGAAGGAAACAAATAATCCACTTAAGCCTATATCGGCCCAACTATAATAAAAAGGAAGATAACTTGAAGAAGCCCACCCAACTCTTACCCAAATCTTTACAATTATTTAAAATGACGATAATATCCCCGAATTGGATCTAGTTAATTCCGTCTGTAAGCAGCAGAGAGAGAGAAATACAAAGACTGAAGAACAACTGAACAAGAAGAAGAAGAAGAGAGAGAAAAATGGGGAAAGCATCACACTCGTCAACGGCCCAGGATGCGGTTGCTCTCTTCGATTCTCTTCGCTCAGCTTACTCCGCCACTCCCACCACTCTCAAGGTCTCCTTCTCTCTCTCTCTCTAATAATTCACAAACTGAAAGCAGAGAAAAGCTTAACCCAAATTTTCATTTTCTTTTTGTATGTGTTCAATTTCCAGATCATTGATCTCTATATTGGGTTCGCCGTATCCACAGCTCTTATCCAGGTAATTTCATCATCTCAATTTCAGTTTTGGGTGCTTAGAAAATTCGGAAAATTATCATTTTGCAGAGATCGCGATGCCCCATTTCGATGCGATCTCGAGGAAATAGAGCTTTGCTTGTATAGATCTGAAACTAGTCAAATGAGAAAAATGACTTACACCAGTGACTTGAAAATTGATTTAGTTATTTCCTCTCTGGCTGTTCACAAGACATGGAGTTACTACAGAACTTTGACTCTTTCACCGGCATGGCATGTAGATACATCTAAAAGGTTTTACTTTGTGTAATCATTTGTGTTATGGTAGGTGTAATTTTGCCAACAATAGTCTATTTCTATAGTTATGGTAGGCCTAAATTTATATTTTTTAATCATAAGTTTTTTCACAAGAGAAAATTACTGTCTGCAAGCATGTTTGGGAGTACAACCGTACAAGTGCCATGTTATTTTCTAGATGTTAAGTAAGACGTTATTGTAGACGAACATAGGTTTGAGGTTCTAGTGACAGTTCTTGTTTGGATAAATAACATGGATTCATGCGACCACCCTGTTTCTAGAATTACAGTTCTGGACTGTCTACTGCCGTATTTCGTCAATGTTAGATTCACCATGTCCACTCTTTGTCTCTATCACCTTAACATATGTTTATTTGAATTCCTAGAAAACTAGAGCTTGAATGGTTGAAGTGAACGTCTGCATTGGAACTCTATATCGTTCGTTTAATCTTCATTTGGTTTTCTACTTTGTTTTGAACAGGTAGTCTACATGGCTATTGTCGGGTCATTCCCATTCAACTCTTTCCTTTCAGGAGTACTTTCTTGCATCGGGACGGCAGTCCTTGCTGGTAAGGAGGAATATGTAGTTTATTTCTTTTTCAGGTGTAAATCCATATTAGATGTGAGGATTTTAACTCTCAACCTGATTATTTCTTTTGCAGTTTGTCTCCGTATTCAAGTGAACAAAGAAAATAAAGAATTTAAGGTAAAGTGTGATTCTTGTCCTTGTGTCCGATTCACAAATTGGTAGTTGTGACATGTTTGCATATTCTAGACCAGTTTTCTTTCTCGTGTCAATTCTTCATCATATATTGAGATATTACAACATAGCTAACATTGTCTTACCACAACTTTCTCATCATATTCCGTCATCCTGATCTATGCGTGTAAAAACTGCAGGATTTAGCACCGGAACGGGCTTTTGCAGATTTTGTTCTCTGCAACTTGGTGCTGCATATGGTGATCATGAATTTCCTTGGATAAGATTACCATATTTTAGTCGTCTTGGATATTGTTTCCTTCAAAGTCACGATTAGATATGATAACAAACTAGTTTATAAATTTGATGTGACGACTCTTTTTGGTAATTTTTTGCGTAAACTTCATACTATAAGCTATGCAGCGACGAAAAAATTAGTAAAATTTGTACTTAAATCGTTTAGCGAAAGTAAAAGTGCAAACAATACATGAGCCTCCCAAATGTAGGCATTCAATCTTCAGTGGACTCCTCCTGATCCAAACAAATTGGTAGCCGTAGCCCTTCTCCACGTAAGGTTCCACATACACCTCCGCGCCCCGATGTCGATGGGCACCGGCTTGGAGGGGCGTTGCGGCGATTTTTATTTTGCAAAATATGGGTCACCCGTTTTCATAGGAAGAATATAAATATCTTGCTCGAGAACCTCTCAAAAGATCGGTCGCCTGTCAGGCCCAAAAGAAAATAAATATCTGTCATTGTCCAAAAATGAGCAATAGCAGAGGTTTCAGGGTCTCTCTCACTCGCAAAGAGCCATGATCTGCCGGACTTTGAGATCCGCTCCCGTGGTCGGCCGCGTACAGGAATGCGTTGCCATGTTCCGCCGCGCAATCGGTGGAGAAGTAGAAGCCCACGCGAAAGCCAAGTCAGAATCGGTTCAGGGGCATAATCGTAAGTTTCCGTTTATCTTTTAGGGTTTATTCTGCAATGCGCCTATTTGGATTCTTTTAGGGAGTTTATGTAGATAAATTGTAAAGTGCTACATTTATTTATTTAGGGAAAGTTTAATGTAAATAAAATATCCATCTGCGTCCTATCCTTGAAGTTCAATTCCGTTCCCACCCTGGAGTATGTATTTCAGTTGTAACTATTTGTTGTTGTAATAGAGATTAAATTATTATTAAATGATTGATAACTTTGTTATAAAATCCTCCCAATCCTATAATATTTATGAAACTTTAACGAAAAGCTTTTAGTACTGTTCACTTTTACGAAAAACTACATTTTACACTAAAAAGTCAATCATGATATTATTACTCTACTTTTTATTTTGTCCTTATAGTTAAAACTTAAAGTTTTCAAACTATTTTCATTAGTTTTCCTTAATATTTAATGTCATGTTGTAGTGACTTATCTTGTGTGTTGGGAACAATATGGGCGTTGATGTGATTTTTGTTCTTTTTGTTTTTGGTATTTAATAATGGCAGGAAAGAAGAAAGGGCACAAGGACTTGGAAGCAGAATTAGCAGCAGCAAAACTTAGATATGGTCCTTGTGGAGTTTGTGGAAAGGACAAAGACCACACGAGTGCTGGTTGCCCTTACGTGATAAATATCCCAAACCCTCTGGAGGTAACTCTTGTTGACGGTAGGTATGGAATAGTTTGTGATTGTTGTGCTCAGCCGGGGGGCCACCCTACTCGCCGGGGCTGGACAGGACGTGCTACTCTCAAGTTGTGTACCTATTGTATGGTATTGGGTGAGCACTGGACTACAGATTGCCCGTGCGTTGAGCCCCAACAACGTGAGAAATGGAGAAAAGAAATGAGAGAGGATGATATTTTGGGAGAGGAGCCCAAGAAAGAAGAATTTCTGGACTTAGAGGCATATTTGAGGGACTTGCGAATGATGGCTGAGTTAAAACCATATGACGGTTGAGGAAAGGAATGGGGAACTTGATGTTGAACGCATGTAAGTGTCATCTCAAAGTACAGGTCTTGTTTGAAGTGCAGTTAGTTTTCTGTTAGGTATGGATGATATATGGGAGTTGACCATTTTACCATTCATGAGGTTCGTGAATTGGTTGTTGGAGTGATTCAAAGAGATTTTCCATTTATATCTCTCTTTGATATCATATCATATTACCCTCTCTATACCCTAAAATTATTTTCGGTTTTCGGATTAAGGAGCGCCTCAAAAGATGATGAGTGAATTTCCAGAATGCATTAATTAGTCGTTCCAAGTGAAAAAGAAGTTGCACATCGTCTGAAAACATCAGAAGTGATCACACATCGATGGCTTCAGTTCCATCAAGTTCATGGTTCCTCAATCAGTCGCTTCTGACGTTTAATTTCTAAACCACCACCTCAGGAGTACTCCCTCGAACCAACCAAACCAATGGACAAATTGGAATTTTGTACGTAGCGTTCGGAGGAGCAACGCCAAAAATATAAGGCCAATTAAGAGAGCAATTTCGTTATCTTGCATATGATGAAGCGATTTTTATTTTCTTCTCTTGGGAACATGCAGCAAGCCCACTGTTAACACAGGGTCCTTTTCGGCCCCTAGAAACAATGCAGGCTCAAGAGAAGGCCCGACTAAGGCCCAGGGAAAGAGGAGAAATCAAGGCTCATGGGAAGAAGGGAGCACCAAGACCTCAGGGGTCGAGAGAAGAGAACTCGTTGGCACACGACACACTCTCTCTCAAGTGCTAAGCATGCAGTGGTTGTTGACGGTAGGTATGGAATATTACTTTTGGAATAGTAAGTTTGTTCATTTGCTCATCTATGTTCCAACCACCAATAAGGATCAGACGAATTCTAATAATACTTTTGATCCCTTATTTGGATCCTTTTTTTGGCCGCGACTTTTCGGTTATTTAAAATTTGCGTTAATATTTCACTCAAATCATAACTTTGTCGTTCACGATATATGAAATGATAAACCACTTAAGAGATTATCCTAGAAGGATGGTTGAAAGACGGCGAAAGTCCTAACGAAATGACATAAGTGGTGGAAGAACCCACCAGACCTATAAGTAGAAGGAAGTTCCAGCAAAATTAACAACGCACAATGTCCATAAATTACCATGCAAATAGAAACCAAAAGCACAAGGATAAATAATAGAAGATCAAAATTCACAAGGAAGATTCACATCTACAAAATCATTCATTCATAGATGGGATCACAATTCTACAAGTTACAAAAGTCGGAAGAGTAAATTGTAACAATGGTTCCTCAACTAAAAATCTATTATCATTGGTCCCTCCAAGTCATCAAAACGTGTAGTTATGGTCATTTCGTTATTAATGGTAATAAATTTTTAATTGAGGGACCATAGTTGCATGTTTTGATGAGTTGGAAGATTAATGGTAATGAATTTTTAGTTGAAGAACCATTACTCAAATTGAGTTAAAGTTAAGAGACTGTTGCTACAATTTACTCAAGTCGGATACTGAAGAGAACCATCACGAAGTCTACTAAAGAGGTATGACAATTCACATCGCCATCTGAAATGCTGGGCATAATTCCAAATAAATATTATACTTTCAAGCGATTAACTTTGTTTCCCAAAACTCAAACAGTGACTACAGTCAAATTACAAGGTCATTAGAGGCAAGTACGGCTTCATGTTCGCCAAATTGGATTTCGTTGAAGGCATGATGTATACTTTCTTGCCTTCAACATCCAAAAACTTAATACCAGCTAAATTCACTAGTAGAAAAAACACTTTGCGCGACGTATGTACCTTCGTTGCTCAAAGTCAAAAATCATTGCCTAAGGGTTTGCGCGACGCAACCTTCATCGCGCACAGGCACTGACACTAAGGTTTGGGCGACGAACAAGTAACATGCGTTGCGCAAAGCCGTTTTGCACAACATAGTCATGCATCGTGCAAACCCCTTTTTGGGTTTTGGTCAAAATTTTTTTTTTTTAATTTTTGATAAATATTGCGCAACGTAGGACATGCGTCGTGCAAACTCTTTTTTTTTTTTTGTTTTGGTCAAAAATATATATATTTTTTAATTTTTGATAAATATTGTAATTAAATTCTAAACAATAATTAATTAACCTAGCAAAAGTATTTAATTATAAAATATATGAAAATATACATACAAGATGTCCGAACAAAAAAGAAAAAACAAGTAATCTTCTAAAGTAAACAATAAAACGATGAGATATACAAAGAAATATCAAACTATCCAGAGACCTCCAACAAACAAGGACATTGTCACTTGAAGCCTTCACATTTTTTTAACACCTCCAAACAAAGGACCTTGAGAGCAAACTACTGCCCCTAATGCTTGAGCCTCAGCAATTGTTGCTTCTCTCTATCTGCACAGACATAAGCATATGGATCAAGAAAAAAATTTGTACTTGTATAAGTAGAACTCTTGAAAAATTATATTAAGGGGGATCCTTTGAGAAAAGATAAACACATGATAGATTATGAAATTGCTAAACAGCCATGGATTCAATTCTACCAACCCCGAATACCAAAGAACATATATTACTATAGGTTCCCCGGTATGTATGGATTGCACGAAAACAAATGCAAGGCTTGAAATTTCATATTGAGACATTAAATAGTAGTATTGTAAGCAATAAGAAAGAAAAACAAGCACATTTAAGAAATTTTCATGCTTAATATTTGTTTAGTAGAACGTCTCTCATTGTAGAATCTTTAAAGCAAGTAAATCATATAATTACCGTACTGCAGGGATGGAGTTATGTTGGTGATAGGCTACTATCAGCAGTTATACCTTACAAAGAGAGTGGCTAGTATGACAGACAAATGTGGGTAAAGCCACCTAAGGTTAGCACCCTTCACCTTATCATTTCTCAGTTAATAAGGATCAAGGATGAAGTCCCTCTGGAATATGTCAACCTTCAAAGTTTAATCCACATATCTTATTCAAGTATTCAACTAAAGAAGGCTTAGAATAATCAAGATATGATGAAATTCAAAGAAATTAACTGATCACATAAGCCTCAACATTCAAACATATTAACTGATCACATAAGCCTTAACGTTCAATGATAGTAACTGATCACATAAGCCTTAACATTGATGCATATATTGCCTCTAAATCAAAACCTCGAAAATTTGATTATGCTATGGAAACTGTATCCTGTGGCTTATCACTAGAGCTTAATACTCGAACAAAGTTTTTGAGAGTCGGACTATGTCCCTCTGTATGGTGTATATGTGCATATGTATGTCAAATATTAACTGAGAAGGGTCGTTGGAGACAGTGCAAATTTGAAGATATCTAAAAGTGGTCATTAGGCAACAAAACTACATGATTCTTGACCTTTAACTTGTTAAAACCAGCAATTGGAAGCCCAAATTTTTGTTCTGTTCTAATATTAATAACTGAGATGCAAAACCGTAGAAAATTTATGCTAAAACATTATTTCTTACGATACTGTGAAGCATCCAGCTTCAGCCACAATCCTCTTTTCATAAACTTCATATAAAAAAGAAAAACCATGTGCTATTCTTATAAGCATGATTACAGCAAGCCATGGTGCAAGACCCAAACAAAGTGCATGTGCCATACCAAATCTTGGACTGCATAACATGAGAAAGATCATAAGTACTACTAGCCGATAACTCCAAACATGTTTAATTAAACAAATGAGCACGTTGTTTGTTTGCATTAATGCTTTCCAGAAGAGATTAGAGTACGTTCCTTGTTAGAGATTAAAGGGAGACTAACACTTTCATGGTAATCAATTACCATGTGAATGCCATGAAAAACAAAAGTTCCACAGACGGATGTTTCTCACTACAATTCAAATTAAGGAAAAATAAAATGCGTTGCGCAAGTTTTACACAAATTATTTTCCATCCACAGAAAAGAATACAAACATAATTCTTCCACAAAGAAAATGCAAGGTAAGTCATGTTATGCGAAAAGAAATTCCTTTCACAGAGGCAAAGATACTTAATATAAATACAAAAATTGGTTTCAGAAACAAAAGACTAACATATTGAAATATACAAACCATGCATCCTAATTTTCTGCTCGAAGCAAATAATCAAAAAGCCAAACAAATTTCAAGTTTTCTTTGTCAGTTGCAACAACATTTGAGTTTTTATTGTTCTGTTATGTCATATCTTCTAAAGCAAATTAAGAGCCGAGTTCACAGCTGATTTCGAAATCTCAAGTAAACCCAAATATTACAAATTTCCCAACAAAAAATTAAAAAAAAAAAAAGAAAAACAACTTTCCTTTCATTTCTTATAATTTCTCAATGACCAAATAGATAAAAAATTCACAATAATTCAACACATACAACAAATTAAAGACAGCAAGATAAAAAAAATCACCAGTTCTTGGCCCAAAGCGGCTTGAAATGCACTGTCAAGCAGATCTTCTCCCCTCTATATACATCTGAACCAATCCAAAATTACCCAGAAATTAACGGACTTAAATTACAATCAGAAAACAAAAATGAGGGAAGAGGGAAAATCGTAAAATCAAAATAAGGCCGACCTTTTGGGTCTTGCCGTCTAGCTGAGGGAGCTCGATTTCCGATGCAGTGGCAGGGTAGGTGATGGGGATATTGAACTGGAGATCGAACTCGTACTTGAGGAGGTTGTAGACGTACCAGCACTTGCCAGTCCACCGATGGCGGCGGATATTCGGAACCAATCGTTGTCGTTGGACTTGTTCATCTGGGTGTATTCGAACCTTGAAATATCCAAGAGCGTGAACTAGCTGAAAACAATTCCCTTTGCAGACCCATCCTTTTCAACCATGGATTTGACCACAATCATTAAATTAAATATGCAAATAATGAGATTGAATGTGCGAACCTGAAGAGGACATCGAAATTGACGGCGGCGTGAGCTTGGCCGAGGTGGAGGCATGTGAATTTTTTTTGGATGAAGGCAGAAATAGAGAGAAATCGAGAGATGGTGTTGGGAATGAGAGATAGAGAGTTTGAGAGAGTGATTGAAGACCGACAGACCTAGGAGGCTCAAGGCTGCTACGCGAGATGTGAAAGACCGAGTGAGACCAAATTTGGGAAAATTAAAAAACCGCGCCTAATTTTTACAAAACAACCGCCAAATTTTTAACACATTGCGCGACGCAAGTATACATTACGATGTCGCACAAAGTGGTTTTGCGCAACGATCCCATTTAAACGTCGCGCAAGTTATATATATATATATATATATTTTAAAAAAATATTATAAAATTCTACAAAACTAATTTCAATGATCCAACTATCAAACTTGTTTGTATATGTTTCAAGATTGCATACACTAAAAATCGCAAAAAAAAAAAAAACATTCAGAGCTCAAGTAACGGGACAAAACATTTCGACAGTTATAAATAAAAAATCACGATTTAACATTTATTTTAACTCCGAATTTGATGATTTTTTACAGTTACACTCCTTGACACTATGTGAATACAATGAATGAACTCGATCATCAATTTAAAATATTTACACTAGTGGATACCACAAAATCTTATGTTATACTTAATATAAGTATAAATAAACTCTTAAGTGTTAGTGAATATATTGTTTTGATGGGGTACGCATTCTACAAAACTAATTTCAACAATCCAACCGTCAAACTTGTTTGTATATACTTCGAGATCGCATACGTCAAAAATCACAAAAAACAAACATTCAGATATGAAGTAACGAGACAAACATTTTCGATGGCTATAAACGAAAAATCAAGATTTAACGGTTATTTTAACTCCGATATTGATGATTTTTTACAGCTACACTCCTTGATCCTATATGAATACAATAAACTCATTCGATCGTCAATTTAAAATATTTACACAAGTTGATACTACAAAATCTTATGTTTTAGTTGATGAAAGTATTAATAAATTTCAAATGTTAGTGAATCTATCGTTTTGATGGGAAATGCATTGTACGAAACTAGTTTGAACGATCCAACCGTCAAACTTGTTTGTATATGCTTCGAGATCGCATACGCCAAAAATCGTAAAAAACAAACATTTAGATATCAAGTAACAATCAAAACTTTTCGACGGTTATAAACAAAAAATCACGATTTAACGGTTATTTTAACTCTGATTTTGATGATTTTTTACAGCTACACTCGTTAACCCTATATGAATACAATAAACTAATTCGATCATCAATTTAAAACATTTACACAAGTGGATACCACAAGAGAAAAAGGCAATGCAAGAACCCACCAAAAAAAAAAAAGACTTCGCGCGACGTAGGTGCCACTGCGTCGCGCAAAACAGCTTTGTGTGACGAGTTGTACCAACGTGGCGCAAAGTCCTTTTTTTTTGTTTTTTTTACCATTTTGCTTATGAGTACAAAATAAATAAATGAAAATGTACTTAGTAAATACATATACCATTGATTTTGATGGGATACGCATTGTACAAAACTAGTTTCAACGATCCAGCTGTCGAACTTGTTTGTATATGCTTCGAGATCGCATACGCCAAAAATCGTAAAAAACAAACATTCATTGATAAAGTATGGGACAAAACTTTTCGACGGTTATGAATGAAAAATCACTATTTAACGGCTATTTTAACTCTGATTTTGATGATTTTTTACAGTTACACTCGTTAACCCTATACAATAAACTAATTCGATCAACAATTTAAAACATTTACACAAGTGGATACCACAAGAGAAAAAGGCAATGCAAGAACACCCAAAAAAAAAAAGAATTTGTGCAACGTAGGTGCCACTGCATCGCTCAAAACAGCTTTGTGTGACGTAGTTGTACCAATGTCGCGCAAAGTCCTTTTTTTTTTTTTTGCTGTTTTGCTTATGAGTACAAAATAAATAAATGAAAATGTAGTAAATACATATACCATTGATTTTGATGGGATATGCATTGTACAAAACTAGTTTTAACAATCCAACTGTCGAACTTGTTTGTATATGTTTCGAGATCGCATACGCCAAAAATCGTAGAAAACAAACATTCAAAGATCAAGTACGGGACAAAACTTTTCGACGGTTATGAACGAAAAATCACTATTTAACAGTTATTTTAACTCTGATTTTGATGATTTTTTACAACTATACTCTTTGACCCTATATGAATAAAATGAACTAATTCAATCATCAATTTAAACATTTACACAAGTGGATACCACAAGAGAAAAAGGCAATGCAAGAACCCAAAAAAAAAAAAAAAAAAAACTTTGCGCGACGTAGTTGTACCTACGTCACACAAGGTCTTTTTTTTTTTTTATACCCTTTTGCTTATGAGTACAAAATAAATAAATGAAAATGTACTTAGTAAATACATATATCATTGATTTTGATGGGAAACGCATTGTATGAAATTAGTTTCAACCAAGGTATTAAATATCGGTAATATCGGAAATATCGGTAATCCGAAAACACGGAAATATCGATGGAAATATCGGTAAAATATCGATATCGATAAAAATTACATGAAAACCACGGAAATTGTAAGAAAAACTTGGAAATTTTTATTGAAACTTTGTAGGATGTTTATTTAGTCAATTATCTATTAGTTTATCACAAAAAATTGGAAGGAAATGCATTGCATGATGGATTTAACATTATCAAGTTGATTATATAGCGATCTGACAAACATTATGAGTGTAGAAAATATGTAGTAATTAATGAAAGAAGTCTAAACACACCATAATCATTTATATATAATGAATTAGTACAATATTTTACACTTTAGTACCACATAGAGTTCCTATGAGGTTCAAATTTTTCACTATCTTCATCATCTCTATGTGTAGAATGAGTGTATTGTGAAGAGTAGTTATCAAATGATAAATCCCCAAAATAGTTTTGCATGTAATTGTTAACATGCCACCCATATGGATCCGAGATTGGTTGAGGTTGTCCATAAGAAAAATCATTTGAAGATTGAGTCTGGGATTGTTTCCATGAGTCGCTCGATTCCATCCCAACAGGAATGGGATATGAAGGGTAGAGATATGAAGGGTAGGGTAGGGAAATGGTTGGTTATGAGTAAACTATAATACCATAGTTACTACTTCCCAATCCAACAGAGTCTGAAGTTCTAGATAACGAGTCATCTTCTTGACTTGACAAAATCCCCTTACCTCTTTCTCTGCGAGTATAGTCCTTCCCTATGGCACCAATTCCTGGTCCTGCCTGCCTACTGCCATGGTCATCATCCTGTGTTGCATGCGTGAAGTTTGCCTCACCAGTGAAGGGGCTCATATATCCGGGAGGTGGTGGTCCATAATAGTTTCCATATCCACCACCACTACCTCCAGCTCCACTACCTCCAGCTCCACTATGTCCTTCATCATTCCCACCTCCGGTGGTAGGTGAGTCTCCTGATCTTGTACTAGAGCTATCATTAGTATCAGCACGATGTTGTGGTTGTGTGTAGGATTGGAAGAAGGTGGAATTCCAGTGTTTCTTGGTCTTGGGAGGAAAAGTTCATCCAAAGAGTCAGCGCTGCTAGATCCCACCTCCTCCTCTAATACTCTTTCTACATTTATCCCTTCATTACGTGCTTCTTCAGCAACTCTGGGAGCTGGGTTGCCTTCATCATCATCTAAATGAAGAGGTCTAATCCATTGAAAAAGTTGGTTACCCTCCGTATCATCATCTTCACCAACAATATCAAACACATCTAGTGGGTCACCACGGTCGACATGATCTATTTCTGCTTCCTTATCTCGAATTTGAAGCTTCATGTTGTAGTAGCAATAAACTAATTTTTCCAACCTACTATGCGCCAACCTATTTCTTCTTTGCTTTGTGTGTATCAGTGCAAATGTGCTCCAATTTCTTTCACAAGCAGATGAGGAAGCTGTTTGTGATAATACTTTGATTGCTAACTTTCTCACAGTTGGTGCATCGGTCCCATACATGATCCACCATTCAGCTACAATGAAAAACAATGTTGATAAGCCTAATAACTCAAACAAATTCTATTATAAACTTATAGTGAAATATGTTTACACTCACTAGGAGACATTGTTGTTCGAGCAGCAATTGATGTTGGTTCTCCAAAAGTTCTTCTTGCATCTTTAAACCATGTTAGCTGAATTCAATAAATCGTGTTAGTTTAATCCAACAAAGTAATTATTAATATTATAATTTAAGTAATTATTATAATTTAAGTAATTGTGTACCTCATTTCCAAATTGGCCAACTGCTGGTGATGCAGGGTCTAATTTAGAGTATACATTATGTACAGCACGTATAAGGGTACCATCATCTCCAACACCGGGTCTGTATTGGTATCGAGGATTCAAATAATATGTTGTTCAAAGAAACACATACTCTAATAAGAGAAATAAAACTTATGCAACTAAAGAAATGAATTGCAAATTATGACATAATTATACCTGCTGCATGCAAATCGTGGTACAATGTTTTATACCATCGATCTTCAATTATCTTGATGACCCACCTTGCACCATGTTTTCTTTCCAATTCATCCTTCACTACACGCATCAACTCATATACTGCCCCCATAGTAGGATACACTTCTGTGTCAACGATCCGTAAAACTTTGTAAAGAGGTTCAAACAGTTGGCACACATGTTCTGATTGAGTCCAGAAAGCATGATCAAGCACTATACTTTCCACCATACGACCTGTATTTGAGCGGCTGAAATTGTGGTTGGCCCAATCATCACTAGTGAATAGTTGCTTCAACCCTGCTTTCTTTTTCAGTAGGCTGTCTAATGCAATATAGTTGGTGGCGAATCGAGTGGTAGCTGGACGAATGATTTCTCCTTTGCAAAATTCACGCATCTTTGCCAACAACCAACCGTGATTGTAAATATAATTTGTGATCGTTCTAGCTCTTTTGACCACAGTAGCAACATTCTCTCTCTTCCCCATTGCCTCAAACATGAGATCAATACAATGTGCTGCACATGATGTCCAAAACACATTATGATGCTTCATTAACTTTTTTCCAGCTTTGACAAATGCAGAACCGTTGTCGGTCACGACTTGGACAACATTATGCTCTCCCACCTCCATGATTACATCCCTCAATAATTTGT